ATCCGTACATATGCTTTGTAAAAAATATTTGCATTTCAAACTGTGTATCATGCAAAAAACAGATATATAGAATACATATTTACCCACTTTTTCTCAGTCAAAATTTGCACGCATGAATAAAGGGGGGAAATCATTCGTGACCAAGCACATATTCTATATTGTTTTCAAGGCTCGTATACATAATATACATGTACTATAAAAATGTATTCAATAGCGACTTAAAATTTACTGTCATTTTTATTGGTGGTCTTGATAAAAATAATCATATTACATTGCAAGAAAATATTTTACAAAGGTATTGCAAATACTTTACATTTTTTGGAATTATTTCCATGTAATTACAACAATATTTTTACAGCTTCCAAACTACAGAGAAAGAAAGAGGGGCTGTTGTCCTACCCACGTAAAAATGTCACAACTGGTCAACAAGATGTGTTTGCAACAGGCTTGTAGCAAGCTTGTCAACAAGTTGTAACAATGCTGTTATTTTATCAATTGCTACAAGCTTGTCACTCACAACTTTCTAACAAGTTGTTGAATTGCAGGACGATAACAAGTTGTTAGAACAATTCGGAACAAGTCGGTTGAGCTCATCAACCTTGTAGCAAGTTGTCAACATTCAGCCGTTTCGCACGTTGTAACCAATAATCTATTGGCGTTGTAAAGCCAATCTACAATTACAAAATCCTAATCCAAACGCTAATCCAAATCCTAACCATAATCCTAACCCCCAACCTCGAACCCCTAAAGTTGATGACTTTTTTTAATAATCTCCCCACCCCGACCAACCACCCTTTGGGAACTAGACTTGCTCCAAGTCTCTCTTTCATTGTCATATAGTATCGATCCACTATAGTGTACATTACATGACGTAGTACAGAGAGGCGGAGCGAGAAAGAGAGACTTGTCAACTTCGGAAAATCTCGGTTCAAAACTGAACCGAAAATGTAAGACTTGGTTTAATTGTTTTCCTTCAATTTCATTCTGTATGATTTACTATAATGGAACTCGTGTTATTTACCCTGTGCTAGATCAATACATATAAACACTGACAGAAAACAATTAAACCAAGTCTTGCATTTTCGGTTCAGTTTTGAACCGAGATTTTCCGAAGTTGACAAGTCTCTCTTTCTCGCTCCGCCTCTCCGTGCTACGTCATGTAAAGTACACTATAGTGGATCGATACTATATGACAATGAAAGAGAGACTTGGAGCAAGTCTATTTGGGAACAAGCAGTGCGAACACATCCTGTTGACAAGTTGTTGGAACAGCATTGTTACAAGTCTGCTGCAGGTTTGTTACAACTTGTGCGTTTTTACGAGTGTATACGATTGTCATTCTGGCGTATGAAAAAGACTGCTGACGCCACTACTCCTGTTCATCAGTTTATGGCGAAATTTGACAATGCAACATCTTTACACGATTCGACTACATACGCCAGGATTAGAATCGTATATGACTAGTTATATCGCGTAGATGGGCAAACTGGATGGAATGTAAAAATTCAACAAAAGTTAAGACTTTACGAAATCGGTTTTATGGTTTGTCTCCTTTGGTTGTAGTCCAGGGGTCGGCTGTTCAAAGGTGGATTACTGCTAACCCTGGGTTAAAATTTAACCTGCTGTTTTAGTTTGTGTATTTCTGCAAATCTGTGTATTTCAAAACTTCAGAGAAGAAAACTCCTATCGATCCAGAAAGATCTCTGAAGAAATATCTCCAAATTTATAGAAAAGCTGTCAGGAAGTTTGCTTCGAATTTTAGGTTAACCAAGGGTTAAACTGACCCAGCTTTGAACAACTGGCCCCAGAAGTCACGCGATAAAACTCCAACACATACTTTGTGTAGGTTTACAGTTTAAAATTACTAAGCCGTGTTCTTGTGCGACCTGGCTAGCGTACATTATCCTAAATTATTTTAGCCTGCATTACCTTCGTGCCTGAGTAGGTATAGTAGGTAACACCCTGCGGGCCTCGCCACTCGGTTGTTCTTTATTGTTCTTTCGTGCCTGCCTGCGGGCTAACTTCGCTGCTTCCTTCTGTTTAAAAGGCACTGCGCCGAAAGGGTCTCTTCCCGGGCTTACAGGCGGTGCGGGCGTCGTCTTGACAACCGGAGTGGCTGTCGCGGGTTTTCGAAATGGCGCCGAATCGAATACACCAGAAATGTCATTAGTATGCCCGGATTGAGTTCGGGAAGGTTCGTGAAGTGTCGTATTACGATTGAAACTCGTCGTCATCTCGTCTACGTCACACCCAGCATTCACGGGTGCGTCTAAAAATGCGTCGTTTTTTCGCAAGCCGCCAAAGTTGTTCGGCCGTACTATTGGTCGCGCCATAATGACGTCATCCTCGCAATCGGAAGACCGACGCGACGAATCGCTCGCATAAGGCGAAATATTTGAATTACTTGACGACCGCTGGGTGCTCAATGAACTGTTCAAGGGTTGCTGCGCATACTGCGCCTGTACATTACCGCTGACAAACTGCGGCGCGTATGTTTGTGCTACGTTCCGCTGACCGTGTTGAACCGTGGGCTCAGCCATCCTCTGCTGGCCATGTTGGACCGCGGGCTCAACAAATCTCGCCGAACTCTGCTGACCACGTTGAACCGTGGGCTCACGCAAACTTGCAAAATCATCATCCGTAGTTTCGGTATTTACAACAAAATCACTGCTAAACGGATTCCATTTTGGAAAGTTTGGCGTAGGTTTAATTTCTTGTCTATAAGTTATCTGAGGAGCATTCATTTGTTGTTGTTGTTGTTGTTGTTGTTGTTGTTGCGTAATATTCACTACATGCTGTTGTGGAGGGGCGTGTTGGACTATGTTTGGTGGCCCTACCCCTTGACTTGTCATCATATTAGCATTGTTCCTGACAAAGATTGGGTCGGACCGCGAGCGTGTGTGAGTGAACTCGCGATCGACGAACCTTTTCCCGACCGGTGAAGGATCCCGGCTGGGCCGTTCCCCGAACGGGTTTAGGTACGCAGGGTTGTTCCCCAGATGTCTGTTGTGATGATGGGCAACTGGACTGTGGCCTTGAACATTCTGTTGAGGTGGGCTATCATTGTAATGGTGCGCCTGTGCTTGTTGTAGGAGGGTGGTAGACTCCACAGTCGAAGGGGCGGTGGGGGTATTGTTAGCGGGGGGCACGCCGCTGGCACGTGGGCGATTTCTTGGTTTTAAAGAAGTGGATACTGGCTCGTGAACTGATCTAAAGTGAAATCAACATGGCTCTAAAAAACCGTAAATAACGGCTGTAATATGCCAAGAACGTGTGATGTTCTTTAAAGCAATCCTCAAAAATAGAATGCATTCGTGAGTTCAATATGCAGGGCTCATTACTTAATATTCGAAACTAAGTCTAGTAACCTTCGATACCAATGTGTTCTTAGCCTCCTGCGCAGACGTTGTTAGTGGCCGAGGCCTCACCTAACGTCTGCTCACATTCGCCACACATTTGACTTCCCGGCAATTAACCAATCACAATCATCTGCACGATAACTGGAAGATCGACCTTCAATGACCTTCACACGCATGGGCTATTATCAACAAGTCTGTAGTATTTTTAAATTT